TATTCCCCAAAGCTTTGCTTTTTCCCCAGTTTTTGCTCTTGGAGGTGATGAAGCGATCGAGAACGCAGTAGCGTGTCCAGCGCAACGTGGGGGCTGAGTATAGGCAGAGTCGAGTGAGGCTCTGGGATGCGGGGGGAGTACAAAGATGTGAAAGGCTCAACGTCAACGCGTCGTGCTTCTGTGCGAGCCCCTGCTCGCTTTCTGCTGCTTGGAAAATGGAAAAGGCACCTGAGCAGCCGGCTGTGCCACGAGCCCGCGCCTGCGGCATCCCCCTTGTCAATGGTTTGGTCGCTTGGTGTGGGCCCCGGGTGGCTGCCCCTGTTTTGGGGGATAAACTCTGCGATAATGCAAGGCTCCAGATGGGAGCTCCTGATGCATTTGTCTGTCAAGGCTTTCCTGGAAAGATTTTTCCAGTTGACCTTTTGAAAAAAAATAAAAAAAAAAAATGCAGTGGATTTTTTAAACGAATGCAGAAATTGTGAAACCTAACAATACAATCCAAGAACTTTTTAAAGTCATCTTAAATGGTTTTGTTTAGTGAGTGTGCTTAAAAAATGTAAACCAGACAAATCTGTCACTGAGCATAGCCCTCAACCGGAGAATTACAGCCAGCTCCAGAGTTATAAGATAAGTGCATGCAGGACAGACCTCTCTTTCTCAGACTTTTTTAATCAAAAGGCATTTTGTGGGGGAGGCTTATTACTAAAGCTATCTGACCAGCAATGTTTTATAGCAAAGCAAAAAAAAAAAAAAAAAAAAAAAAAAAGCAGCCTCAAGGATCGTTTTCTATAGCGTTGTCACAGTGCTTCGTTATTTACAACCAAGAGAATGAACAGCCCAAACCCGTTCTGATTTTTTTTTTTCCCCTTTATTTTTGCCTTGTGTGCTGTCATGATTATTGCTGGGCATAAATACACGTGTAAGATTTCTTTTCTTTCTAGAAATTTTTTTTGTCCGTCACCTTATAATATCTTCTGAATTACTGGTCACTTCAGGACAGTTAGCTGGAGATCCGGATCGAGCTCTAATTAGCGTTTGAACTGGGAGAGACGTTACTAGGAGCAGGGTGTATGTGCAGATGAAATGAGGTAGAAGGGAGCAGCCAGAGAGACCTGTAGATCCAGAGCAAGGCAAGGGGTGTCCCGAAGGTTTGGTAGGCAAACAGGGGGAAGTATAACGTTCCAGATGTGGTAATCCTGAGAAGGAGGACATACGTCCTGAAGGCGCTCAGTTGCGCGGATCAGGTGAGAACTTGGTCTTGAGAAAGCTGGCAGTTGCTAGGTAGATCATAGTGCACAAACGCCGAGGATATGGGAGCACAAGGATGGTTTTCCCAGAGTGATGCCGTAGCTCTGGCAGCAGCAGAAACAGCTGAGGAAGGTGGCTCAGAACTAGAGCCAGGGAACCAGACATGATGGTGGTCGAGTCTGGGACTTGAGGTGTGTTTTGACGGGATTGCAGGGGATAGATTTGTTCTTCTTGCAATCAGGCCGAGTCCCTACGCTGTTTATTTTGAGCTAAGAGTCACTGCATTGTCACTGTAGTCCGCTTGTGTGATGGTGGTCAATACAGAGCAAGAACTTGGCATCCCATAACTTTGGAGTTGACATCCTGCAACTTTAGAGCGTGTTGTGGTTCGGTTTGGGTCTTGCTTGGCTGTTGCCCGTGTGTGTGTTTTAGAGGGAGGATGGAAGTGGAGGATGCTGGTTCTGCATTGGAGGGAGGGTTGGGGATGAATAGGAGAGCTCGGAAGGGAAGATACAGAGTTTAGTTTAAACAACAGCTTAGAGCTGACCTTTAAGAAGCTGGTTTTGTTTGGTTTGGGGTTTTGTGGTTTGGTTTTTTTTTTTTACACTAGAGTTTGGCTAAAAAAAAAATATTAATAAAAGGGTTTCAGTCATTGGACCTCCATGTCTTAGGCTAGCCATCTGCAGAAGAACCTTTGCCTAGACTTTGTAAGTAATTTTGAGTGTGGGTTTTTTTTTTTTTTTCCCCTCGATAGATGCCTCTGTAAATGCCGATGGTATTTTCCTTTGAATGCAAACACATTTATTTGGCACCCGTAACTACTGTTGTGGGGGGTTTTTTTAATTTTAAATTTATGCTTGAATGAAAAGACAACTCGTCTAGCTTTATTTGCTTCCTGTACGTGAGTTATCTTTGAGCTAAGGGTTCGTTAGAGCGGAGGCGCCTGGTTGAGTTTCATGAGGGACCCTGCAAAGAGGCTGTGCAGCACTAGATGGCACTCTGTCACCAGCTTTCATGTCCTACCAGCACAGCTCTGCTAAGCTGGAAGGCAAAACCCCTCGCATCATGCTAGTAGTGGCACTCATATAATTTTAGGAAGCTATGTTTCTCTTTCCCCTTTAGCACCAAACAGCTTCTACCTTGGAATTAAGAAGGCAATATGGTCACCTCTGAAGACTTCGACTCTTGGGGACTGTGCTGTTTTACACTGAGTTCTAAACAGCCTTGGAAAAGATTTGGCGATTTTGGCCGTTGAGAATGGTTTACTGAAACGGTATAATTGAAATTGCTAGGGCAGGTTTTAAAGAATGATAAGTAAGTAGACTTCCTCCAGCTTTTAGTCCTGTCTTGGTATTTTTTGTATTACTTTGAGACCGTTGTGGATGGAAGAGGTGGGATTCTCCAGAGTGACTTGTGATCACACCAAAGGATCATATCGCTTTCTGCAGGCAGAAAGATTCACTGTGTCTGGTTGGATTTATTGAGTTTCTGGTTCTTTCCGAAGCATTGCTTGTCACTGCTGCCATTAGTAATTTTATTTATGTTTTGTTACTCTTTCAGCTTGTTACAGCTCTGTCATTCCCCATCTTTTATCTCTAATTGCTGCATGGAGCTCGGTGTGTAATTAATTTAGCCTTACTTTTTGACACTGTACAAGCTCTGACTCCATAAAGCTCACTGTGTGCTTAATTCTTTTGGATTGGGAGAGAATTCAGGTTTGGGAGTTAACACTGCTCCTTAAAGTACTAAAACTTCCCAAAGACAGGTCTAAGGGTGGGATTTCTGCGCTCTTTAGAATAAACACCTACGTTTACTATAACCGCCCCCCCACCCCAAGCAAACAATCCTCTGAAAATCCCATGCCATTCCAGGGCATGATAAAATCCCTTTGCTTTCTAGAATGACTTTTGCTTATTTTGCAGTTGTGCTCTATTGCTTCTGCACCAGCGGCTCGTTCTGCAGCCGAGGGAGTCGCCTTCTAGACGGCTTTACAAACCAGTTGGAAATAATCATCATTGCCAGACAGTGTGCGCTGGTAACAGACTGAACACAAAGTGGTTTAACGTGGCGATTCAAGCCTCTCTTCCCAGTTGCGTGGAATTTAAGAAAATATGAAGGATAAATTTTTTTATAGTGTTTTTTTTTTTTTTTTTAATGTCTGAGTTCTTTGGTTTAGGTTTTGCTACCGTATCAGTAGCACTTGATCTGGTATCATTTTTTTTTTTTTTTTTTTTAACTTCCGCCCTTAACTTTAATGCTAGTGGTTTTGTTTGGCTGTAGCAGAGATGACCTGTTAACCTGCAACTTGTGCGCATGGTGTCTTGGCTTGGGGTAGCCCTGACAATTTGAGTGGCCTTCAGCCGTGTTGGCCTTCCAGCAACACTGCTAATTGTGCTGGCAAAACCAGGGATGAAGAGGGGAATGGATTTTGGCAGCTGTGTAGGTGATGCTTCCCCGTTTGTAGATTTTACTCCAGACGCATGGAGAACACCCAGTAAATTGTCCAAGAGCTCAGTGTTAGAGCTTACGAGAGCAGGTAGTGATCAGAGACGGTGAGCTCAAAGCTAGAGCACGAAGGCTTTGCTTCAGGTGATTCGGCGCTGGCTGGGCGTGTTGTGGTCTCTGAGGGAACATCAAGGTGATGTTTGACAGGTGGAAAAAGAAAAAGAAAGGCTGGATTAGAAAGACTTTCAAACCTGAGTTTGGTGCCTGGTGTATGCCAATAAAAAGCAGAACTATCCCTTTATCACAGGAGGCGTTTTTTAAAGCTTATATTTCGGGTATTTCTTGTAACGACAGTGACAGATAGTGGAATCTTGACCAACGTTGACATCTTCTTTTTAGATCTGTCTATGATGGGGAAGAACACGGTCGTTTCATGGAGAAACTGGAAGCACGAATCAGAAACCATGATCGTGAGATTGAGAAAATGTGCAACTTCCACTACCAGGGCTTTGTGGACTCCATCACGGAGCTGCTGAAAGTTAGAGGAGAAGCTCAAAAACTGAAGGTAAGAGAAAGCCATCTAACCGTGGTCCTGGGCACCCAGCTCTAGGTGGCCCTGCTTGAGCACGGGGCTTGGACCAGATGACCTTAGGTTGGACCTTCCAACCTCAGCCACTCTGAGATCCTGTGAAACCAGGTGAATGTCTCCTCCTTTTGTCTAGAGCATCTCTCTTTTATCTAAAAAATTCAAAAATCAATGGGTATGTCTTCATTCTTCTATAGCAGTAGGTCAGTCATTTGAAGTTTGACAGTTATTTGGGTAAACTGGAACAGTGTGGTACGGTCAAAGCACGAGAGCTTAAAGTGAAGCCTGTTTTGCATTAGGAAACACGTGCTTTTCCTGGTATGCCTCATACCAATTTCTTAAGCAAAAATCAGCTCTACGGTCAGAAGTACATCTGCTATGGCAGCATCTACTCTAGTGCCCCGTCTGACGTTGACTTCTCATTACAGGTAGCGTGGTGTCTGAGACAAATCAGCAAAGAGTCTGCAGGTCTGACTCTGCTGTGGGCAGGAGGTGTCTGCCCAGTGTTGGCAAGTGCAACGTTAATATTAAAAAAGCAAATAAACATCAGAGCATTGTAAGGTGTTGAGGTGTAAGCAGGAACAGCAGTGAAAAACAACGACTAATTTCACTAAATCCTGACAGACCGTGTGAACAAGCGCACAGCTTGGTTCTTTTCCAGAAGCATCTCCATGTTTGGTTGGCTGAACTAGAAGGTAAAATGGTTAGAGCTGGGAATGAAGGAAATGGTTACAGCAGAAAGGTGGGAGAAGGGTAGAATTTACCTATTTCTTGAAAAACTGTGTTTAGTAGTAAGTGCGAAAAGCCAGTTGTAGGATCAGGACGTGGGTAAGTGGTGGGAAGGAAACTCGGCAGGTTTCTGGGGAGAAAAAGGACCTAGAGGTTGGAGGCATTACTATGTGCAGGGACCAGGTGGGCTTGTGGTTGAACCTTGGCTGCTGTGCCTTAAAATACAAGTATTCCACCGTTTGGGACATATAAAAAAACCCCACAGCAACGCCTTAATCGGTGTCAGAGTTCAGAGCATCTTCCTCATTTTCCTACACAAGTTAGAACAGAGGCAGGGGAGACTGCTGTGCCATCCCTGGCCGCAGCAGCGAGGTGTGACCTTGATTTGAAAACCAAAAGCAACCTTCCAGAACGGTCACTTAGCGAACGGGGCCGAGTTGTGTGGCACCCAAAAAGGCGTGGACCGTCTCTGGAGACCAGCACAGCAAGTCCTTCTGGCTGAGTGGAGTTCAGAAGGACCTTTTGGGGAGTCCAGGAGCATGGGAGACCGTTCAGTGGGCATTAGAAAAGATGAAGTTATAAATAACGGCCGGTGGGAAATCTCAGAAAAGCGAGTTTTCTAGAAAAGAAGGAAGAACTCTAACTTCAGTGTGCTGACTGCTGCTTTTCATACGTTTGTTTATTCGCTTAAAGCTACCTCTGGCATTTCCTAGCAGGCTTCCAGCTGTACACACGCAGGTCTCCATCCCACATCAACACCTTCTGGGGGGCTATGTCCCGACGCCAGATGCACCCGTATTATTACAATGACATTTTCCATGGCAAGGATTCATCCAGCAGTTGATTGCAGGATGAGGCCATTGGAAATACCATGAAAGAAGTCTTTTTTTCTTCTTCTTTTTTTTTTTTTTTTTTAAGCTATTGTTTTTAGCCAAGAATTCCACATTGTTTGTTTGCAAAGGCTTGTTGCTGTTTCCCATTCTACAAACAGCTACTTTGTTGGTGGCGCACTGTGAAGTCCATCTCTGTACCCTCAGGATCTCTCTTGATTTCCATTACTATGTGATCTATAAAACGGCACATGGGAAAAATATACACAGAAACTTATTTGAGAAATACTGAGCCCTCTTTGTAAGGGTTTCCCCAGGGAATCATCCATGGGTCCAGTGGTGAGAGTGTGTTTCGTTCCAGCTATTCATTCTCTGTTTGATCTTGGTCTTTTTCTCAATAGTGCTGGTCTTTGAACATACGTGCAACCAGCAATAAAAGAAATTCCCTCCATGTTGCATCTCTGGTATGTAGCTGCACTTGTGTGCTTTTAGCTGTGGGGTGTTGTGTATAATATCAGGCTCGCAGAAATAGTGGCGTTCGTTGTTTTAAGAGCGCGCATGCTAAACACGAGCTGGATGCGCGTTCTCTTCCCCCGTTCACGTGTGATGTGGCTGCCCTCTTCCCCCTGTACTGTAATGCTGTATTTCAGGTGGCCCCGAGGCAACTTAAAGCATGATCAGGGCTGTATCGCTGCGCTTTCTGTCCTGCTTCTGTGCCCTGCGAAGGGCTGGATCTTTATCTTCTCCATCAGCAGAGGAGCAACTCTGCAACCCATTTCTGCACTACGCAACGTTGTGTTGTTTTCAAGAGATGCTGGGTCACTGATTAATGATCTATATACGGATAAAAAAGTAAGTTAATGGAAAATACATGGGATACATTTTGGAAAAGGCATCTCCTTGATTTGGATGATGTTTAAACCCTAACATTTTTTAAACAAAACCTTCTTTTTGCATTTGCTTACTCTTTTTTAAACTATACAGCTTCAGTATGGCAATTCTCTTTACTTTTCTTACATGGTTTCAAAGGAAAATCTCGTTGCTTTGGGATTTTTTGTGTTACACATCTTAAACCATCTCATATCTCGCACTGCATGAATGTTCTTCCTCATTAGGAAGCAAGCAGTGTGATGTTGACCTGTTCTCAAACCTGTAAATGCACTGTACTGGGTCTTGGAAACCACATACCAGTCTGGCTGTTCCATCTCCTAAAAGTTCCAGTGGAAATTAAAAGGTCAAAGATAGATTATACATTAGGATGGTTCAACTTGGAAAACACGACTCAAGGTGCGACAGGGAGAGGATCCCAGAGTCGCAGGGCTGGTAGCAACCTCAAGGAATCTCCTAGTCTATCTTTTTTCTCTAAAGAAGGTTCTGCTTCAGCTGTGTCATTCCTGATGGGTTTTTACCTAATGTCTTCTAACGTTCGCCCTTCCCAGGTACCCCTGTCCCTCCTTCTCTAGGAAACTTGAGTTATGTGGTTGAGAAGTCTTCTTTTTTATTTTATTTTTTTTTTTTAGGTTGTCTACTTTTTGACCTGTCAGGCACAAAAAAGAGATTATTCCTTCTTGGTTTTACAGCAGTCTTCTACAGGTTGGAGGTTGTAGGAATGTTCTTTCTGGTCTTGGCCCCTGTAAGATGGGTAGCCCCAGTCCATCCCGAAGGGTCGTGCTTTCTAGGCATCTTTACCATTTTTACTTTCCTACTCTGAAGTCCTTCCAATTGACAACGCTTAGGGTGGTTTTTTGGTGATAAGCACAGTTTCTAAGCTGGGGCAGGCAACCAGCCACCAGTGAAATGGTGTAGAAGGGTTATTTCCCATAGGGATTAGATAAACAGCAGGAGAACGTCTGCAGTGGTGGATAACGAACCCAGGCTTTGGGTGCACCCTCCAGACCGGGAGGTTCGTAAGGGACTTGCTTGAAGGATGGCTCTGTAGTCACCCTCCCTTCCTTAGGGAGGGTGGAAATCAGCGGTAGAATCATAGAATCACTTTGGTTGGAAAAGACCTTTGAGATCATCGAGTCCAACCTTTAACCTAACCCTGCCATCCCACCACTAAACCCTGTCCCTAAGCACCTCATCTATCCTTCTTTTAAATACCTCCAGGGAGGGGGACTCCACCACCTCCCTGGGCAGCCCATTCCAGAGCCTGACAACCCTTTTGGTGAAGAAGTTTTTCCTAATGTCTAGCCTAAACCTGCCCTGGCGCAGCTTCAAACCATTCCCCCTCATCCTATCATCTGTTCCCAGGGAGCAGAGGCCGACCCCCACCTCCCTACAGCCTCCTCTCAGGCAGTTGTAGAGAGC